ATTTCCATTACGCAACAACAGATTTTTTAAAAATGGGGTGACCTTGGAAAGAGAACACCACAACTACCATCTTAGAAATTCGCTCTTTATGCATTTCCTGCAAACGACCCTGCTTACCTGTGGCCTCATCGACGGCATTCTCTCCAAAAAGCCGGTAAAATGGCCGTTCAAACACTGCGAGAAGCACGTTGGCATCAAAACCAGTGCGATCGGGAAAGAGCACTGCCTGCTCGGTCACGCCAAATGCGATCAGAAAGATTATGAAGAAGGGTAGGAATCTAATCAGTTGCAGTGTCATTTGACCTATCATGGTGACTTTGGGACCGAGAACTACGCTCACGTAGCAGTATAGAAGCAGTTCCATCGCAAAAAGCATAACTAGAAAAAAAATACATAGGATTGCAAAATGCGAACTTATTTTTATATTCGCATTCGAAAAGGACTAATATAAAATGAATAAACGTAAGGATTAAGACTAATTAACAACAAGAGAAGCTGAATTAAATATAAAAGGTTATTATTCCATACAAAACGGTACATCGGTTCTCTGGTAAGATACCATCAGACACCATGAGCTGTTGTTCCCATGATAAGAAACTTCTGATATTAACTATCTTCCGTAGAGGAGAAAACCCTAATAATTAATGCAAAATGCTATATATATTCATCACACCGAAATAACATAAACCGGGCGATATTTGCTGTTGGATAAAAGAAGGTTTTCCATTTTACCATCTACTTACTGTTCTAGAGTCCGATCGACGTCAGTCCTAACCTACATTGTCGGGGGCTTGCTCTAATGTTAAAAGATTCCTCGCTCGAACTCTGGGTGTTCCCGCACCAAAACAAACTTGAATATGACTAACTAGTTCAGCATATTTATATTAGTAGGCAATGCCTTTGAAGACACTATTGAAAACACTTTACATGGCGAACATAAAGTCTGTTACTATAAAATAGTGAGTAGCATAAGCACATGTAAATGTTTTATCTGTATCTGTGGCCAAAACGTTCGTGTCTACTAGCAATGCTTTTCTGTGCGTGTGAACGGTATCTACTGAGTAAAAATAAGGCATATAAGGACAGTCCAATCTTGCTTGTCTATTTTAAAAATACTTCGCGGATATAAAGAATAACAAAATTCAATAAAATTATAAAAACTAAACCATACGTATTACAACAATCGTAAAAGGAACTGAAAGTTTTTTTTAAATTCATAGATTTATTTGAGGAAAACTCTTACGAACTATCACAGCCATTGAATATGCGTATGCAAAAGTTATTGTGCCCCATATTCGTAGGAGCATGTAGATGAGGGCAACGCTCGCCGACAAGCACTGAATCCAGGCCCATTGAAATCCGGCGATCAGCTAAAAAGAATCAAGACGCAACCGTAACCTTTAATATAAGGGAGGGTAGGGTTAACAACAGTTTAAGCAACTAATAATTAGTAATTAGGGGGAGGAAGGAGGTGTTAAGGGATCAAAGGAGTCAGATTCTAGTCATAATTAGGGACCACAGAGAAAAAAGGAGGCGAGGAAGGGGTCCGACAATTAGTTCTTGTCGCCCCGTCGTCCCTGCCTCGAGTTTTGTTGGGTGGTGTGTGGACGCAAGGTTTCATTGTCTTGCTGTCGTCATCTCGCCACCGTTTCGCGGCATGGGGACACTTGCTGCCGCTGTCTCCTCACCGTCCTGCAGCGTGGTAGCAGACGTGTGGACGGAGGTTGAGTTGGCCTTCGGCCACGGGAGCCTTAGTGCCTGTACAAACGCCTGATGATGATGAATTACTCCAAAACTTTCGTTCGTCTAACTTAACTTCCTGAATGCTTACATGGGTATCTTTGCTTAACATAAATTCTAAATTTATAAATTACGTTTAAAACAACGTTTGCCAGGTGCAAAATTTAAATAGAGCAATAACGGCAAGATTTATTGGATCCATGGCATTTCGAGAGAGTACCTTACGCTACCTGGAGGCAGCCTACATACGACGGTTCAAACCCGACCTATGTGAAAAGCTGGAGCATGTAGTGAACCTAACTCTGCCTTGGTAACATTAACTCCCTGTTTACACAATTCCCCTCCCAAAATTTTTATCTCAGACGTCTTTCCCTGTTTTTTGCCGACCATGGCGTTTTGACTTCTTATGTTATTGATTAGCCTCTTGGCAATTTCTTATGACCTTGTGTTTGTATCGATTTTTCTGTATGAATTCAATTAGTTATTCCTCTTATGTGATTCACGTTACGCATTGAGAGGCAGCAACTGAAGAGCTCTCTCAAAAGGCCATAGATCCAATAAATCTTGTTGTTATTGCTATCTTTAAATTATAAATTATGATTGCCTTGACGACGAAAATTCGGAAATAATGAAAGATCGGTCATAAATGTCAGGTAAATTATTGTTAGAAGCGTGACCTTTACGTTAGTTGAGATAAAAATAGTAGGAGAAATGTGTTTCAATAACAATGAAGCCATGCGTGTTAAAGGGGTATCCGCGTGGATTACACTAAAAGAAATCATAAAAAGGCAGCGAATTAAAAATAAAAAATACACTATGTTCTTACCGACAGTACTGAGCCGACAAGGCGAAGACCTATGAGGAACATGAATGCAGTCTCAAGGCGGCCGACATTTTCGGGTTGTAGAGGCAGCAACAACGTGACAGAAGAAATCACAAGGAAGAATAAGCAGATGAGCTGGTGAACAAAGAGAACAAAAATGGGGGGAGACTCAGTGAAAACATCTGAGAGATGCAATTCAGAAATCAAAACCCTTGGTACGGCCAGATCTGACATTTTTGTTAGAGTTATCAAATGGTTCCGAACGGTTCTTGAGGAAAGTGGCTGTGCAAATCTGTTCGATGACAAAAATTAACTTGATCTGCGTGATTCGCACAATAAAGTGAATTTTTTAGGAGGATACAAGAAAAATAGAACCAAGGCGTTCCTCGATGCAGGTTACACGTGCATCCGAAAGGCGAGCAGGTTGTTTTACCAAAGGATCCTAAGTAGTAAACAGGGTTAGTTGGTTTTTCATATATTGTGGCAACTACATTTTGCTATCGCTAAAACAACTGCATCGTGCTTTGAAAACGCATAAATTTGGGTCCAGGTATATACTTGCGCAATTATTTTTTAGTGACTAGCTCCACACGAAGTGCCCTTGTGAACACTTTTTGTGACTAGCTCAAATTGAAGTGCACTTTTGGAACGCTTTCTGCTTCCGGCCTCTGGAGCAGCCAATCACAGGCCGACTCATACAGGACCTCATGTGACGACTGCCGAGCAGGTTTCACTTCAGAATAAACTGTCCCCTTTTATTCTGGCCTCTCATGACTTCCCTAAAGGAACCGGGCCTCAAGATCGCAGTTGTCAGGGCTTAACTTAGTTAACCCCTGCAAAAATCTTACGGCAGTTCGAATTGATTTTGAAATATTTGTCAGATTGCCCGAGTTCAAAATAGCAGATATTGGTAACGATCGTCACAGAAAATAGTGAGTTAGTGCCGCGTTTGGAAAGCCTATCACTCATTACTTTGTTTCGTCTTTGTTTTAGCAAACGCTGTGGAGTTCACTGCTGGGGACATTAGAGTCTTTCCGCCTGCCGATAGCCTTTGAAATCGACATAATGTTGCTAGGTTAGCAATGTGTGCCTTGGAGAACTTTCATGCAACAAACTTGTTAATCGAAAAATTGGGATGGTCCGTTAAAAAAAAATTTACACAGTTTAATTAACTAATTCATATCAGATGCAGACAACAATTTTAATAAATTTAAAAGCATAGTAAACAGCCTTATCATCCCCAGAAATAGGCAGATTTTAGCCAGAAAACTTGTATCCTGGGAGCCACCCGAAATATAAACTTTGCTCAGGTGGTTAGAACGTTTTAACCGGATTTTTTTTAGCAACGAAGTTGGTCCTACAGTAATGTAATTATCGCTTCTCTTCAAGTCTACCCTCCTTGGCAGCTTCTGTCAATTGAAGTGGCCAATTCGTTTGCATATGGCCATAAGCAAAATTAAGAGTCCTACAATAAGATCAAGGAAGAGGACTACCCGGAATTATGCCAATGTACTTTGCTTTCCAATAAGCACAATATACTCTAATGTGTAACTTAAGCTCATAATTCAAATGATTTCAACCCTGGTAGGTTTTGCCATATCTATTCTGATTGTAAGAGCCATACTTCGATGGGCAGAACATTTTAACTCGATAAATGTCTAGCAGCCTTATACTTTACTATGGGCTAGCCAATTTTATGACCAAGCAGTTGGCATTTAAGGTGATTCCAGATGCAAATTAATTCAACAAGCAGTTTGACTCGCCAGATTCTGTTGAAAATGAGTCTCTACGTCGAGAAGAAAAGATAGAAAAGCGATGGAATGTAGACTGTCATCAACTGTGGGCTCGGCCAGACACGGACTGGAAATAAATTTGTCTGGTAGAAAACCCGTAATTTTTTGTAACCAGGCAGCGGTTGACCTGCGCAACTAAGCCACTTTCATTACTGCCATATCGATAACAGGAAGAGGCTTCCTTTATTCCCTTAGGAATGCATAACACATAAACGGAGGTGGCCGATTCGGAAAGTAAAAGAAGAAGGATGAGGTTTCGTTGCGTACTAGAATTTTTAATAACGCGGGGGAATTGCAGACGCTCAATATTACCTGAAGCTAAAATGCTTAGACAAAAATATACCCTCCTTTATGTATGGTCCTAATATAAAAGGTAAAGTCTTCCTCGTTCTTTACTGCTCTCCACTTATTTTTGCAGCCTTACTTAAAGAAGACCTGTTAAACATATTCTCCGAGTGCTCACTTCAGCTGTCGGTGTTTCCTATGTTTTTTTTTAGCTGACATTATAATACAGGAACAGTTTAAAACGGTCAAGCAATTTACTGATTGTATTCTTGGTGAGATCGCTCATCCTCTTTTCTCTGAACTAATGGCTGCGAAGTCTTCCCATACTATGTGCCGAAGTTTCCGTCATATGTCTTGCCGTACATCAGCATTTCAGCACTGTATACTCACATTCGTAGCACGCTACCTCACATGTGAAGAAACGGAAATTCAGATATTGAAATCAAACCTGTCTCCATAACAGATGTGGCATTCATGTGAACCTTTAGATTTAGAGTATTCTATGACCTTTCACCTTACCATATCCTTCGCTGAAAATGTTTGACTATTTACCTTCAAAATACACAATATTCATCTCTCTCTTCCAAAACTGCAGTTTTCGCTAGAGCACTAAAAATTATTAGACATTTTGCATGTATATGGGCAGATAAATGTTGACATTATAAAACTCTAGAACTATTTAAGCGACTAAAGCGTGAGGAATAGGACATGATATGGCAAAGGCATAGACACGTATCAGATCTCATTCTGTACTGAAAATAGATAACTCTAAGTGCTGCAAACTGCACTACTAAACTCACGAAAGACCAACAGAATTTGGTGCGTGGACAACCATAGAAACGCTGTAGTCGCTCAAAGAACGTTCTGGGAAGTTCATCTGACATCTGCCAGTCACTGTCATCCAGTCCAAAAGCATAGGACTCAGAAAAGTGGATAATGCCAGGAAAGACGAGAAAGAGTGGTGGGCAGAATAGAGTCAGAAGGTAGACCAGAGCGTTGCAGTTTATACCGCCAGACCAGAGGTAATTAATGGCCTGTTGGGCCGGCCGTGAAGAGGTAAAACTCTTGCACTCTGCACTGGCGGCCAGTTCGAGCATTGAGGGCGAACCCCAGCCGGCCATAACGCTGCCACCGACCAGATCAATTGACGCATGCTAAAATTCCGTAATACGTAGAATGCTTACGGTACGAATATTCATTTAAGTGTTATATAGCAGTTGGAAAACGATTAGGAGGGTCTATGAATAGACTTTTGTTTCTGGTGTAGCCAAGCCAAACAAACGCGCAAAACAAATATCCTTGAAATCTGGTCCGAAAAGTATACAAACTTTAACAGTTTCGTATCTATCCAACGGAGGCGTTGAAACAATGGCTAAAAAATCTGCCCGATGACACTACTGAATGGACCTGCTTCGAAAGAAAGGGTATCCTGACAGATTCATCATAAAAAGTACGATGGAGAGAGAAAGAAAACTCACCACACCTACTGTGGAAAAGAAGATGCTCTTCCTCAAAGTACGCTTTCAAGGGGGTGCGGTAAGCGAACTCTTAAGAAGATGCCTCAACCAAGCCGTGTCATGAACCTTCCCAGCAACGAAGGTTCGGCTGTTATTCTCAACCAATCCGGTCCTGCACGGCGAAGGTAAGAATAGGCTGCTAGCTCCGACCATCGAACTATGTGCATCTACTCCTTTAATTGCTCCTGTGGAGCAGGTTATATCGGTCGCATGAGTCGGCGCTTACGGGCGAATACGGTAGCACCTCCTGGAATGGCTGAGCAAAGGTGAAATCAGGAGCATTAACAGCGCCATTCTTGCCCAAATGGTTGACTTCGGACATCGTGTGGACCGAACGAAGCCTTTAAGATAATCTATAAGGTCACACCAAATTACCCAAAGTCCCTGCGTGAGCGTATGCTAGC